TGGGTATGTTCCGAAATTAGCTGGAAGTACTGGCGCTGCTGTTACTGAATTAACTGACTTTTGCTGTTTCGAAATGTAAGATTTTACTGTCTAGTACTGAATTTTGGAACGGAAAAGCAGTAAAAGAATGTTATTTGTACTCTGTACGTAACCTTAATATTTTCAAGAGATCGAAATACAACCGAATTCTGACGTATAACCGATATGGACCGACGTGTTTTATCAAATATTATTGAAATTATACTGGAAAACGATTCAAGCAGTGACAGTTCTGATGATGACATATTATTACATATATTAAATCAGATTGATGGCAAACGCGGATCATTGCTACTAAAACCTCGTGTACAGAATTACATTCAAAACGTAGTTTCTGTATTATCAAACGTAGACTTTAAATCACATTTTCGGTAAGAAAAAGTTATTTATGTATATTGAAAATATACTTAATAAAATATATGTAATATTCATTATTTGTAATAACGTATGTATATTATTTGTAGAAATGTGTGTACCATATCGCTATACTATTTTATAAATATATACTACTTTATAAAAAATAAATAGCACTGTGTATATACTATTATCGGTATCTACAATCTCGTATGACTTTAATTTTGAATCCATAATTCTTTTTTTCTTTCGTACTTCCAGTATTAAACTTATCACGATCAGACGATTTCACGCTCCGTGCTCTGTTACTGCTTTTACTGTATTTGCCTCACCTCTTGGGATGGAGTAGAAACAACCGGAAGTCAGCAATCCCCTAGGGTCAATTTATGCAGAATGAATAGTAACTTGCAGTAACTGACAACATAAGAAATTCTATTTTGGAACGATAAATCAGTGCTGTCAGTACTGCCAGTTAATTTCGGAACATACCCTGTGTAAGGCCGGAATCAGATTATGCATTCAAGATTGAGATTGAAGATTGAAAAATTCAAATTTGACCAATCGAAACGAAAGGAGCTAAAATTTCTTTGTCCTTATTGGTCAAATTTCAATCTTCAAT